TGCACCATTGTTCACTTGCTCACTACCAATGAACCCATGAGTGAGTTGTGTTGTATACCTTTTCTAGACATGACCTCTCCAACTTGTGCAGTTTTCTCCTTGATTTCTAACTATCTCACTTATCCTGAAGCCAGAAGTTGATCAAGAGAGGTTGACACAATCCCCTTGCTACCGCTGGTAAAAAGTGGCTGCTCTGCTAAATGTTCAGCCTAGTTATACAGGTAGCAGTACACCATTTGGCTGTCAGGCCACTCCCAGAAAGCAGGACTGGAAATAGGTAACAAGCATGCAAGGATACAAGAACTTCTGATAAGTAGATTTACTGTTAAAAAAAGCTAAAGAAGCCATCACAAAAGAATTCTAGTGACCTATTTATAGTGAAATCAAGGTTCAAATTCTTGCATCTCTTTCTCCTCCCCATGCAATGGGGGTCAGTCTTTGGAGCAGCACAAGACTGTCAACTCTAAGGAGTTCTCGGCAAAGCACTTCCCCATCATCCATTGGAACCATTTAGCTGGAGAAACCTGGGAACAAACCTGCAAACAGGTGCTGCATATAGAAGATGTGTTCTGCCATTGATCCATTGTCCCTCCCCAATCTGCAGCTCCAATAACTGTATTATTAAATGGTTAAAATATTGCAAAAATGCCCTGGGCTTCCAAGTAACACCTTGTTAATTCAAAATACTTAAAGGAGGTTGAAATTTTTCCAAGGAAACACACTTCTGGATGGATGATGTTTTCAAGGATCAATATGTATATAATTACTGCCTCAAATATTTTTGCTTCTCTAAGGTCTCAGCCACAAACACTTAAAATAAACCTACTATCCTGAGCCTCTTTAAACTGCATATAGTTGAAGGTGGAGATATTCAGATCAGCATAACTCTGGTCCACCATATTGTCCACACTGATAGAACGCTTGTTCTAGTTTGTCAACATTTTTACTTTTTTTTTTTTAAGTACCATTAAAAATTCATTCACAGCTTTTTTCCCCTGCCATTTGAAGATTTTCTACATTTTCTTTTAATATATGTAATTGTTAATACAAATCCCAACCAAAAAACACATTTTGTCATACAAATATCTCTAATGTCATGTTGTGGTTATTGTAAGTTTCCCTAATGTGTGCTTCATTAATGTACATTTCCTTGATGGAAGCACCTTTTTTTATGTACTGCTCCTTTATGTACAGAACTATTAGAAATAGGCACTCTTTTTTCAGAGGCATCTTTCACTTAAAAAAAAAAAAAATGCAGATCATTATCCAGAGAAAGATGGGCACTAACATATTCCACAGACTGCCACTGTCCATGCTTTGGTTGAATCTGTTTTGGCAGATTTTAAAATCAGCTCCCAGAGATATCCATGGCAGCTTCCCCCTGCCCCTTCCTTAATTATCAATTTGCATACCTCTGATTCCTCGATTTTAGCATCAAATTAAAAGCATAGTAAGCAGTATCAGATATACACAGAAATGGATGGATGGATGGATGGATGGATGGATGGATGGATGGATGGATGGATGGATTGGATATTATCTCAGCCTTTATACTTCATGTTGTAATCCCTGCACACATGCAAATACTGTCCTGTGGCCAAAGCATCACTGTTCTGTTCAAAGTGGTTTTCTTGATACACAAAGCAATGAAAACTCCTACCTGCACACTTTGTCCTACTGATGAGTGGAGGCCCAGGTTTGCCAGTCCCACCATCTCCTGGCCGGGTCAGCAGGACACTGATCTCATACTCTGTATCTGGATCGAGATGCCACAACTTATAGGTCTGCATGTTCACAGCGTGCACTTCCGACCAAGGACCAGAAGTCATACGGTACTCAATCTCTTTTCTTACAATAGGACCATCTCCAATGATTGAGTTGGTATTGAGCTGGATGATTAAGTATGTTGAACCTGCTCTCAGAAGCTGTGGGGGTGCAATGGGCGTTGGAGGCTCTGTTAAGAGGACAAACAAGTAGTAAGTTGCCCTGTTCTTCTGGCCATCTTCAGAAAGCAGTCCTGAGGTAGATGGTCTTATAGACAATGGACAATTGCACAGGGGTGGTGGAAGAGCAAGAAAGAGTAAGGCTGTATTTGCACAACCTGATGAATCAGGTTCCTGAATTAATCAATTTTCTGACTATCAAACTGTGTGTGTTACTTAAATGAAGCCACTAGAACTTTAATAGCCTAATTAAGTGTTTTGTGGACAACCATCCTAAGATTTTCCCTATCTCTTCAGTCATTTATCAGAGATATTTTTTGTAAGTTTAATTTTACCAGAAGATTATGTTTACTCTTATAGCTTTCATTTCATGATTGTTGTTTTGTATTAAAGCCATCTTCAACATGCTTAAGGTCTAAAGGCAGCTTACAATTTCTGAAGGATGCAAACACTTAATAGAATCAAGCTGATATCAGCCAATTTGTATACTTCAGGTAGGTACTCTGTAGCCCTTGGGCTAATTTTATGTTGCTCTAATTTCAAAACACTTACGCAAGTTCAGTTTAGCCCTTTTATGGATTAAATCATCTACCCCTTGTTGCAAGCTGCTGTTTAGGAGAGAGGAAGGAGCGTCAGAAAGAGAGGGAAAAAATCATGTGTTAGAGAGAGACACAATCCCATATTTTCTTTGTCTTTTTTTAATTTAAATTGGGCCCTCCATTTTTTAAACTTAAATTGGACCCTCCATATGGCTTCCAATGGATTCATCTAACGAGAATGTGGCCTGCAACATAAATAGGATGTCCAGGCCAGCGTACGTGAAGATTCTTGCTCCATCACATCAATACAGGAAATACAGTTATATTATGGGTATCCTCCAAACCTGGGCTGCCTTCCCATATTAGCTCATTTCAAGTCAAACAGATGCAGAACAGAGGCCTTCCCCCACTCCTCTCTCCCCAAAGAGATCACTATCACAGGCAGATGACATGCTTCTATGCTGCTAAAGTCTCTTCATAAATTAGTAACATTGAACAACATCTGCCCAAAGCAATGAACAAAAGACATGCAAGGAAAGCATTATCCTTGACTTTCTCTCCCTCTCTTCCCCAACTCACAAAATACACCCAAGCCCAAAATACTGTGTTGTTCATCAACTCCCATAATTGATCTCTCATTACTGCCAAATTGGATTCAAATTCTTCCCCAGGCTTCAAATTTCTAGGTCGGTCTTTTCCCAGGGTGACAAAATAAGCCAATCCCAACCCCCGCTGATGTGTACCTTTGACTATCAGCTCAGCAAAGTTAGAGACACCAGAGCCCCTGCTAGACTGAGTCACGCAGCGGTACAAGTCCTGGTCTCCTTTAGAAACTTGATCCAGTTGAAAAGTAGCCAGAAATCTTCTGTGACTGATGTGTTTCACTGAGACAGTGGGAATGACAACTCCATTCTGCTTCTACCATTCAGAAAAACAAGATTACCATCACCATCAGTGTCTTATCCCCGCTCTGAAGAAATTGGTATTTCCAGCTTATTTTTCAGTAAGGGTCATGTTTCATAGGGAGGGATGGTGAAATATGGTCTGCCTTTCTTTTAGAATTTGCTCCCCTTTCTATTTAAAAAAAAACAAGAAAGTTTACTTCTTTGGGGCAAACTAAACAAAAATGTAGACAATCATCTTCTTCTCATGAAAGGAACATTTCCTTAAGCCTAAAAAAGAGAGGTTGGGCTATGGGTGGAAGAAACTGTCAGCAACAATCAACGCTGGGAGAGGGGCAACCCATGGACTCTGGTAAGAAGTTACAGATCAGCATGTAAAGCTTATTTCAACCTACCTCCAGGTATATCAAATGCATCCTATATACAAGTCATTATTTCAGCCAATGGAAGAACACAAAGGACAGGCTGAGCCCACCCCTCATAGAAGGAAACAAGAAGAAAGAAACAGATAAATGTCCAATGAGAGTAACTTGTAACCTCATTCCCACTTACCTGCATGAGGAACCTCTCTGTTTCAGAAGCCTTGCCAGCAGCTACACACTGAAAAGTAGCATTCTGTCCAGCATTTACCTCCACATCACCCAGGCGGGAAAAATGAGGTGCTTTGGCTGCCAAAAGAGATATAACCAGACAAAAAGATCTGTGGAAAGACCTCTGTAGTTAATCCCTTCCCACTCACATGATATAGTACAATGTTTAGGAGAATCTGACCAAAGCATTTTTCTTAGATCTTGCCTGTAAAACGGGTATAACACAGCTTGGGGATGGAAGGATTAATTTAGCCTTTTCTAAACAGAGAATAATTGTCAGAACAACTGTGGGGCAATGCCTCACTCAGTTTTGGAACACATTCTATACCACAGACCCACATCTGGGTTTTTGTTTGTTTGTTTTGTTTTCCTTCAAATTCAAAATTGGCACATTAGATACATTTCTAAGAAATATTTATTACATTTTTATTTATTTCATAAAGGGGCTTCACAGGGATGAGAACATAGTACCTATCTGCAACTTGTTAAAGCAGCTGCATCTTTTCCCGTAATTGCAAGCTGTCCTCCAAAAAGGGGGGGGGGATGGCTGCTGTGAACAATTGCAGGCAGGGGCTACTTTCATGCCCTTGGGCAGACAGAAGACCTTTTTGGAATAAACCCAAGTGCTGAAGAGCCCTAGTATTTATTACCCCCCAAAAAATGGCCACATGCCATTTCACCATGAAATCTTCTTCCAATGCATTAGCTATGATCTTCCCCATGGCCAAGTTTTTATACTTTTAGGGACCAATGCTAGCCATAAGGGCTCTAGAACAAGTTAGTAGCTACCAACAGAATGGAAAAGTTTACCAAAGATACTGCAATACTTACAGCAGGGATAATTCAAGAGCAGGATATCATCCAATCCCAAGTAGCCATGTCGTTCATTGGAAATCACTGCTTCAAACAACACCTAAGGATCAATGAGAGACACTCTGTTCAGAGTGTATTCAGTTACAACTGGAATACTGAAGTAGAACTGGAGACCTAATTTCAAGTCCATCTTCAGCCTCTGAAACTCAATGGATGGCTCAGTGGGTTGGACACTACCTCAGTGGGTTGGACACTACCTTAATCTAACTTACTTCTGTTGGGAAAAGAAAATTGTGTAAAGAAGGAAAATACATATGTCAACTTGAACTCCTAGAGGAAAAGGAGAATACAAATGGAGCAGGTGTTCTCAAACATTTTCATAATATTTTCATTTTGGTTGTGCCTTTGTTATTCTTCAAAAAAATGTAAGAAATGTAAGAAAATAAAATAAAGGCCTTGTTAGGGTAACTTGATCTACTGTCCCATGTAAATGCCTGAAGTTTTGGCACCCCTGAAAATCTAAAATACTTTGGCCAACTTTGAGAGCAAAGGACCTCTCAAGCCAGTTGATATTCTCTTGCTGCCCAAGGCTAGTTCTTTTCCCCCTCAGTAAATTCTCTTTCAATTTGCAGGGTTATTGAAGAACTGCAGAGAATTCCATAAAGGGGCTCATGGGTTTTCATCTACCTAAATTGAGGGGAAGACCATCTGAAGCTGATGATCGTCTTCCTTTTGGGTAAGTGTGATAATAAATCTCATCTAATCACAAAGCAGAAATTAGTACAAATCAGTAAGATTATATAATGACAAGTATCCATCCCAGGAGGATAAAAAGAATGGGCTAATGACAATTAATTAATTATTAGAGAATTACTATTGACATTCCAATGAAGTTCTCTTGTCTAGCCTGTCTATCTCTCTCATAAATACAGGGCTGGATTTTCACAGAATATTAAAGTCAAGTGCACTTCCAGTCAAGCTCAATTCCTGTTTTCATGGAATATTCATGCAGCTTTCATGACAACTGGATGAAAGTGGTTTGCCATGAATTCCAAAGTCTAGTCTACAAGCTGGGATTCCTTAGCATTCTCCCAAGCAGGAACTAAAAAAATCCTGCTTAGCTTTTTCAGATCATTAAAGGAGAGCTAGGTGTTGCCACCTAGTTGGGCATATTAAACTAGGATAAGGTAGGGGTCGTAGCTTGTAGTTCAGTAGATGATGGGAAATCCAGTAATTATCTCAGCCCATTGCCTTACACCATAATATACTTTATTACTTTGGATTTAGCATGTTCAGTGAACACAGTAAATGTGTTTTGCTAATCCATAGAATGGTTTAGGGTGCTGTATGTAAATTTAGACACACACTTCTCTTTTCAGAAGATGATTTTCCCCAAGCACCAGAACTTATCCCAAATCTCCCACAAGATTTGTCCAGAAAGGCAACCCTCCTTTTACCTGGTACTCGTTGGGCCAAAACATGCTGACAGCGAGCTCCACTTGATGCCATTGCCGCCCATGGGATCCAGAGACATTCCACACCACACTTCCCAGTGGTCCTCCATTCACCTTGACAAAGACATTCAAAGTCCCAGGACTGTGCCCATCACGGCTGTACATGAAATAGCTGAACTGGAGACAGTGAGTGTCATTTTCACTCAGTGTCTGGAAGAGGATATGTGCTTTCTGCCCTGGATTATGCTGGGAGGAATTGACCATCAGATAGGAGCCTACAATGGAAAGAGAGAAGGAGAACACAGTTTATTCATCCAGCAATGCTTGAACCTGAGGTTCTGCATATTTGATAATGCTGATATAAACTCTTTTTGGCATAAGAAACTCGTGGATGAATCCACAACAACTCTCCTTGTTTTTCCCATTCTTTACACTCCCAGGAACATTACAAATCCAATGCACAACCTAGCAAAGGAGGAGGCAGACTTCAGACTTGCAAGACTTTTAATGCTGACCCAAATGTCCAAGCCAACCAACTGGAACTCATGGCAAAACACTGGTTGAAATAGGCAGAAAGTAGATTAAGGCTCTGATCATTTCCTTCCACTCCCATCTTGAAACCCCCATAACAAAAAAAAAAAACCAAAAACCAAAAACATTAAATGGCTCACAGACTGATGTGAGCCCATTTTTGGCAGAATTTGAATGAGTTTTAAAACAACCTAAAATTAATGTTTTTCACCCCATTTGGGTTCTTCTTGTGGAATTTTAAGGGTCAGAATGCTATCCCCATCATAACATCCTGCCCAAAATGCCAAAAGAAAGGGCTATAGAAATTCAACCCTACCCCTTTCGGGAACATAACAACACCATGAGGTGTCCTTCTGCAGAGCTCTGGGAGGTCAAGGTGCAGGGTCTCATTACCCAACTTCTCAAGTATTGTCTATCCCTGGCTTAGACAATAGAAATCTGCATTTCCCGAGTCTTTGAAGGTTTGCTTACAAGAAGCTTAATGAAGGCAACAGAAGGAGGTATTCATTCATTCATTCATTCATTCATTCATTCATTCATTCATTCATTCATTCAACTTCTATGCCATTCCATTTCTGAAGTTTCTGAGCAACTTACAGGCTATACACAATAGGGTTAAAATGGTAATCAACGTGATGCTTCACTATTCAGAGACAGAATATTATTCAATCATCCCCAAATTCCTTTTTGAAGAGCCATTTCTTCATTGATCTTTGAAGGTGTAATAAGGATGCAGTGACCTTGATATCTTGGGGCAAACTATTCCAAAGGAGGGATGTCATCTCCGAGAAGGCTCAACTGTGTAGCCATGTACAGCTTTAAAAGTGATAACCAGCACTTTGAATTGCACTGCACTGGCAGACAATGCAGTCTGCCTGTAGTAATTGGATTATTGGACAAATCTGCCATAACTACTTGGGCAGTCCCACATAGATCAAATTGTAACAATTCAGCTGCAAGATGACCAGAGTGTGAGTGACTGAGAGCTAAGCTTCCTGTTCTGGAAATCATTGCAACTGGTGCACAGTATGAAGTTGTGCAAAGGACATAGCCTCTATCTGCTTTTCAGGAGCCCAAGAGGATCCCCAAATTATGGGCCAGCCCCATCCAGGGGAGTGTGACCCCATTCAGGATCAAAGATAGACTATTTCTGGACTCAGCTTCCAAATCCATGGCCGCTGACTTGTAAGGGTGTGAACTTTTTCTCCCCATCCAGACCCTAACAGCCTCCGAATACCAAATTAGGACCTTCTCCACATCTCCTGTTCAGTCCAGGGTAGAGATATATAACTGGGCATTATCAGTATATTGATGATACCTCACCCCGTGCCAATGGATGACCTCTCCCAGCAGCTTCATATAAACATTAGAATCCAAAACAGATGGCTTTTTCTATATGCAACAAAAGCTTCCTAACCTTCAGTCTAGATGATTGAGGGAATATAAAAACTGCATATTACATTTTATATATAGTCACCTGCAAGCACAAAATGGCTACTAAAGATCATAAAAGTGAGAAGGAGAATTCAAGAAAGCCCAGAGTCACCCATTGGGGGGAGATGGGTGGCATACAAATTTAATAATAAATAAAATAAATAAATATATGCACACACATATGTACATGTAGGTAGACAGGTCAGTAGTTCAAATAGATAGATAGTCAGACACACAGCAAAACAAATAGCTGCTATCATTTGAAAATAAATGATATCCCTTTGTTTGAAATGATTTTAGATTTAATCACCTACAGCAGTGTCCCATTGATTGTTGTGTCTCTTCTCTGCTCAGTTTAGAACATTATGAGCTTGTGAATCATAGCAATGTTCTTGGTGACAGCTATAATTGAACTGGTATCTATTGCACAAAGAGCTCAAAACATACATCCCATCTTAACACTGATCATCTCCAAAGATACTGCATTTTTACATGTGCACACAAACTAAGTGCCATGCCATCCCTAACACCGTTTGTATTATAGTCAAGGAGACTGTGAGAATTATTTACCATTCCTCTAGAATTCCTTCAGTCTTTATTGCCCTGAAACTCCTAACTCCACCTGGATTAAGCCATTTAATTTCCAGTTCTGCTTTCCTGAATCATTTAACATTAGTTGCTTCTGACTAAACTGCACTCAGTTGGTTATTACAATACCCGGAGGCCATCGGTGTAATAAACCTCATTGCTTCTTGGCAGCAGGAGTACAGAGTAGCTACCTAGCTTTCCATAATCCCAAATCAAGATGTAGAATTTTCACTTCACATTATTCCATGATACTTTCACGACTACAAGGAGTGGCTTAAGATATATTACTATCTGGGACAAAGGACAGGACGGTGTTTCTTCCTATTCCATGTTCAAAATGTTTATCAACACTTTTCTGCCACCTCCCAGCATTTTTTTTTGGTGCCATCAAGTCAGTTTTTGACTCTTAGCAACTGCCTGGACTTGTCCCTGCAGTCCCTGTCCCTCCCAGCATACACCATGAAATGTCTTTGCTTTGCCTAACAGTAGGACCAGCCCTATAGTTGTCCATATTAACTCCAGTACAAAGGCATAAAGTCAATGAAGATGATCCAAGTGGTAAATTATTATATTGGGCATGCATTATAAATGTCCTGCAGTCCAGATGAAGCTATGCCCTGTACAGTATGTATGTTAAATCAGTTTTCCAACACCACAGGAAAGAACCAGGAGCAATGTATGCAGCAGCAGCAGCCATGGAGGGTTCAACATTGGCAAGGGGAGGAAAGAGCATTGCAATGCAAGGCCCACTCCTTTTGAACATCAAGTATTATTAATAGTAATAATAATAATAATAATATACAGTTGGAATAGTGGACTGAACTCAAACAGAATTAGAAGCCCTGGACAGGAAGACCAGAAAAATAATGACAATGAATCATGCCCTTCATCCACGTAGCAACGCTGACAGACTCTACTTACCAAGCAGCATTGGTGGGCATGGAATGTTGCAAGTACACCAGACAGTTGAAGAAGAAAAAGGGGCAATGGAAGAATATCTGAAGGACAGTGAAGAAGATGCACTGAAGCTAGTAAACCATGAAGGCTTACTGAATTCCAAAGAGATCACACTGGCCTACAACAAAGGCCAAATGAAGAATAGGAAAGAGACATGGCAAGGCAAAGTATTACATGGCCAACACAGAAAAAAAACTAGCAGGCAAAGCAGATAACTGGCAATGGCTAAGAGCAGGAAAGTTGAAGAAAGATAGAGGGGCTAATTCTGGCTGCACAAGACCAATCATACAAACAAATGCATACAAAGCCAGAATCGAGAAGACAGCAACAGATAGCAAATGCCACCTCTGCAAAGAAGCTGAAGAAACAGTGGGCCACCTAGTCAGCTGCTGCAAGAAGACTGCACAAACTGACTACAAATAACAGCATGACAAAGTAGCAACAATGGTGCATTGGAATATCTGCAAGAAATATCATTT